TATAAGTGCTTTTGAAGTTAATAGCTGATTTAGAATGCAGGTATTTAAATGGCATTCTTGGGTAAAAGTATGCTTTATACGACTGAAATAAATACCCCTTAGTTTGGAGTTTCTTTCCTGAAACCTTCCATGCTAATTGTGCAACGTTTCGCATTTCCATGCTTTGTGCAAGCAAAGTTAGCTAAACCAAGAGAAGTAAGCAAGTCGGTCTCGCGTTTGCTATAATTTCCATAAAATAGCCAAATTGGCTGCACCGACAGCTCTGGAGGCTGACCAGAGAAGTCGGAGTATAAAAGGCGGCCGTCACCGGCGATCGGGTTCAGAGTGAACCTCAGGCAACTTGGAGTAGCATCAACGGATCGGGAGTTGAAATCGAGCTGGGCAAACAAGTCGAGAACGACGGAGAAATAAAACCAAAACAAATAGAACGTGAAAAGTGCAAATAGAAAACGGTTTCGAGACATTGTCAGCGAAATGGATGCCAAAGAGTTTCGGGAATTCGGCAAGGCGGCAGTTGACTACATAGCCGACTACCTGGAGAATATCCGGGATGATGACGTGCTGCCCAATGTGGAGCCGGGCTATCTTCTGGACCTGCTGCCCACGGAGATGCCCGAAGAACCCGAAGCGTGGAGAGATGTCCTCGGCGACATTAATCGCGTCATCAAGCCGGGACTGACCCACTGGCAGTCGCCCCATATGCACGCCTACTACCCCACCAGCACTTCGTATCCCTCCATTGTGGGCGAGATGCTGGCCAGTGGGTTCGCCGTCGTCGGATTCAGCTGGGTAGGTCGGATTCAGATGGCCGGTGAAATCTGCTGCTGACCCATTGTTTTGGCCGGCTGAATGGGCGCCCATTGTGCGCGGTGGGTGAAAGTGAATCCAAGAACCCGACAAACAGGTTGCTACTGCACCGGATCGAAGAGAGTTTTTCACACAACTCCATTGGAAATTGTCACCATTTAAAGTTATTGTGCAGCCAAACTATCCGTTTCGCAAACAATATTGTCATTGCGGACAAAGCAGTTGCTAAACAATAATTCCAACTTAGTGGAATAGACCGATTTAATTCATAATATAATAGACAAATTCCCAATAGGTCGTTAGCTTAAAGTCTTAAGAAAAATTGCTTGTCAGACCTCTGATTTAGCAGATCTGCATTTAATATTAAACATATGTATAATCCCCCACAGATCTGCAGTCCCGCCTGCACAGAACTGGAGGTGGTGGTCATGGACTGGCTGGCCAAGTTCCTAAAGCTGCCCGCACACTTCCGGCACGCCAGCGAGGGACCAGGAGGAGGAGTGATCCAGGGATCGGCCAGCGAGGCCGTTCTGGTGGCTGTCCTGGCTGCCAGGGAACAGGCGGTGGCCAGCTACAGGGAGTCGCATCCGGAGCTGAGCGAAAGCGAGGTGCGTGGCCGCTTGGTGGCCTACTCCTCGGATCAGAGCAACAGCTGCATCGAGAAGGCTGGAGTCCTGGCTGCCATGCCAATTCGATTGCTGCCGGCTGGAGAGGATTTCGTACTTAGAGGCGATACTCTGAGGGAGGCCATCGGGGAGGATGTGGCAGCGGGCAGAATCCCGGTGATCTGCGTCGCCACACTGGGCACCACGGGCACTTGTGCCTATGACGACATTGAGTCCCTGTCCGCCGTCTGCGAGGAATACAAGGTGTGGCTCCATGTTGACGCCGCCTATGCCGGAGGAGCCTTTGCTCTGGACGAGTGTTCGGATCTGCGTAAGGGATTGGATCGCGTGGACTCGCTGAACTTTAACCTGCACAAGTTCATGCTGGTCAACTTTGATTGCTCGGCCATGTGGCTAAGGGATGCCAACAAGGTGGTCGATAGCTTCAATGTGGATCGCATTTATCTCAAGCACAAGCACGAGGGTCAGTCGCAAATTCCCGACTTCCGCCACTGGCAAATCCCCCTGGGTCGTCGCTTCCGAGCATTGAAAGTCTGGATCACATTCCGCACTCTGGGAGCCGAGGGATTGAGGAACCATGTGCGTAAGCACATCGAGTTGGCCAAACAGTTCGAGCAGCTTGTGCTGAAGGATTCCCGATTTGAGCTGGTGGCTCCTCGCGCTCTGGGACTGGTTTGCTTCCGGCCCAAAGGTGACAACGAGATTACCACCCAGTTGCTGCAGCGACTTATGGATCGAAAGAAGATCTACATGGTTAAGGCCGAGCATGCGGGTCGCCAGTTTCTGCGATTCGTCGTATGCGGCATGGACACCAAAGCCTCCGATATTGATTTCGCCTGGAAGGAGATCGAGTCACAGCTGACGGACCTGCTTTCAGAGCAATCCTTGGTGGCTCGCAAATCGGGAAACGTGGGCGATCTTGCGCAGCACTTCCAGATCCATCTGGGCGCCGAAAATGCAACGCACGAGAAATCTCAATGAGAAAAACGGTTAAACTATTTATGTTTAGGGACAACCTAGTTAGTTTGCGATGTAGTTTGTAGTTTCCCACATGTTTATGAATAAAGTGAACTTAAATGTACGAAAATAGTGCACATTTCCTTTAGGAGTAAAATGTTTTTTAGCCCGCTACAAATCATTAAAGTCTATAAATATTTACTGTATATAACAATTTTTAAAAGCTTGAAAGACAATAAAAATTGAATAGATTCTTAACAATGTCCTTGAAACTCTTCAACTCTTAAACTTTTTTTCAAAGCTTTGATTTTTAAAGCATTACAAACTTTCTCTGATTTTATTTGAAATTTAAATCAAAATTTTGGCGGTAAAGTGTGGCTGCTTTTGCATAAAAGTCGATACAATTTTCATCGCACTTCGATAAGTCCGCCAAGGTCTATCGTCAGTGCCGCATCCGCAGGCAAACAGCTGTTTCTTCCAATTGGACCACCTGATATCGATTGGATAACAAAATATAAACAAAACAAAAATAGTTTCACTTATTTCAATACTTATTTCAATAAATACTTATAAATTACCTCTGAAGAACTTTAGCTGCTACTTTTCATGTATTTAGAATCGGCGCAGTCCAGTGCTCGCCTTGGTACGACTTCGTATTCCGTAAAGTATTATATATTATATACAAATAAAATGTGTAATAGACCTTTTAACAAAAACCTTAGATCTTGCTTACCTGCAATTGGATAACCGGCAGCCTTCCTTTGTGGTAAATACTATGTTTCTGCTTATTAAAAGCAACTCGGACGTGTGGGATTTTAAAGGCCTTTCCGCCTCTGAGCCTGTCAACAAATACTGAAAACTCCGACAAAATTCTAAAAATTACTTGAATTACTTTCGGAACTCCAGGAACCAGTCCCGCTTGCCATGCAATGGTAAGTTGAACAGCTCCAGCGGATTTTGATGCGGAGGGCAACGTCGAAACGCAGCGCAAACTAAAAAAGAAATGAAACTGATACCCTCTCTTGTCCGCAGTTTTAAGCTGGCCAGCAGGCGCAGTTTATACAATGCACGGGTGCTACAGGCGGATAACATAGGCGACCAGCAGCGAAGTCCGGATCTGGAGGCGGCACGCCAAAATGCCCAGATAGTGGTCGTCGGCGCAGGACTCGCCGGTCTCTCGGCTGCCCAGCACCTCTTGTCGCACGGGTTCCGACGCACCGTCATCCTGGAGGCTACAGATCGTTATGGCGGCAGGATTAATACCCAGCGCTTTGGTGACACCTATTGTGAACTAGGCGCCAAGTGGGTAAAGATCGATGGATCGCAGGACTCGATGTATGAACTGCTGCGCAACACGGTGGGTTTGGGCAAGCAGATAAAGCAGCCGGATCGGGCCACCTATCTGCAGGATGGAAGCCACATCAATCCAGCCATGGTCGAGCTCATCGACACCCTATTCCGGCAGCTTTGCAGAGGCTTCAAGGTATCCGAACGAGTGAAAAAGGGTGGTGACCTGCACTCGCTGGACAATGTAATGAACTACTTTAGAACAGAAAGCGATCGCATCATTGGCGCCTCCTTCCAGCAGCCAAAGGATCAGCTGGCGGCACGCGAGATCTTCCAGTCGCTGTTCAAGGAGTTCGGCAGCATACTGGGATGCTGCCTGGAGTATGTCAACATCGAACACATAACCAAGTGCCCAGTGCAGCAGGAACAGCGCCCGCTATATGTACCCACTGGTCTTGATAATGTAGTGGATGATCTCATTCAGAAAATGGATAAAGCGCAACTGCAGACCGGAAAGCCTGTGGGCCAGATTCAGTGGACACCAGCGCCAAAGAAAAGTGTGGGTTGCCTGGATGGCAGTCTTTATAGCGCCGATCACATAATATGTACCCTGCCGCTGGGTGTGCTCAAAAGCTTTGCGGGCGTTCTGTTTCGACCCACGCTGCCGCTGGACAAGATGCTGGCAATACGCAACCTCGGCTTTGGCAATCCCCTCAAGATATACCTCTCCTACAAGAAGCCCATTGGGCGCTGGCTAAAAGGAAGCGTGCGGCCACTGGGAACGCTGCTAAGTCCCTCAGCGAAGCAGCAAATCGAACGCAACTGGACGCAGCAGGTTGTGCAGATCAGCCAGGTGCCCAGCAGTCAGCATGTGCTGGAGGTGCATGTGGGTGGCGGCTACTACGAGGAGATCGAGAAGCTGCCCGATGACGAGCTGTTGGAGCAGATAACCGGTCTGCTGAGGCGCTGCGTAAGCAATCACCTGGTGCCGTACCCACAGGAAATACTGCGCTCCAACTGGAGCACCTCGGCGTGCTACCTTGGCGGACGTCCTTACTTCTCCACCAGCAGCAGCGCCCGTGATGTCCAGCGACTGGCCGCTCCGCTGGGCGAGAAGTCGCCGGGTCTTCTCTTCGCCGGAGATGCAACCTCGCTCAAAGGCTTTGGAACTATTGATGCCGCCAGGTCCAGTGGCATCCGAGAAGCCCAACGCATTATTGACTTCTATTTTAAGAGCATGCACAGCGGTTAACTGCAATAGGAATTCCGAACTGGCTGCTAAATTGTACAGTTTATTCCACGGATGCTCTCTAGTCAAAATTTATAGTTAAAATTTGTTCGTACTGGTAAGCAGAATACATTTGTTTTAATTAGGCGTATAACGTTAACAATAAATCGATAACAACATCAATGATACAATGATAGGACAAAATATGTAAATCTAATGTAGCGATGGAGGATCCATCTTTTGTTGCGATGTAAATTCCCTAAACATGTCGCAAATGGAAAATGTAAGGTCTGCTCCGGTTTTTAAGTCATATAATGCATTATTATTATCATACTGGTCCATTTTGTAACATATAGAAACAGGAAAAGCTACCTATATTCATTTGTAAATTAAACGCGGAACAGACCTGCACAACCACTTTACTGCTCCTGCTCCATCTCGTCGGCAGCGGCACTGACCTCCTTCCACGAGTACTCCATGTCCTCGGACTGGGTGAATCGCGAGCATATGGCCATGCGCAGGAAGTACACGTCCTTGATCTTGGCAGGCACCAAGTGGATGTGGCCGCGTCCATTGATTCGCTTGAGAAGAGCTTCGTTCCGCTCGTTGCTGCCCTTCAGACGGAAGCAGACCAAACCCATGTTAATCTCAGCGGCCAGTTCGAATCTGGAATCCGCCACGCAGAGATCCCCGAACAGTTTGGCAAAATTGCAGTGTCTGCGGATGTGGGCTTGGAGATTCTCGACTCCGTACAGCCGGAGGACGAACCAGAGCTTCAAAGCCCGGAATCGCCGACCAAGTGGGATTTGCCAGTGGCGATAGTCCGGAGCGGATCCCTGCATATCGTGCTTCAGGTAAAGAGGGTCCACATTGAAGGCGTTGACCACCCAACTGGGATCCTTCAGCCACATGGCCGAGCAGTCGAAGTTCACCAGCATCCATTTGTGTGGGTTGAAATTGAAGGAGTCTGCTGACTCAATGCCCTTCATCAGGTGGCGATACTCGGGGCAAATGAAAGCGGATCCGGCATAAGCAGCGTCCACATGGATCCACACATTGTGCTTGTTTCCCACTGGTCCACACTCATCCAAGTAATCGAAGGCGCAGGAGTTGGTGGTGCCCAGGGTGACCACCGCATAGAAGGGAATCAAACCCTCGGCCAGATCCTGTTCGATGGCCTTTTCCAGGGCAGCACCACGCATTCTGTGATTCTCGGACTGCACAGAACGGAGCTTCACTCCTCCCAAGAGGCCAGCACGCTCCACGGAGGAGTGGGCCTGGTCGGAGCAGTAGCCCACCAGCTTGCCCAGGATGGTGTGCTCATCCCACTCCGGATGCAGCTCCTTCACCTCCTTCACCTTCTTGGCCTTGGCTCCCAGCAGAGCCACCAATGTGGACTCACTGGCCGTTCCCTGGATGACGCCGCCTCCCTTGCCGCCCGAACACGCCAGGAATTCCGCCGGCAGCTCCAGCATCTTGCCCAGCCAGTCCATCATGACCACCTCGAGTTCCGTGCAAGCGGGACTGGCGATCCACGTGAATCCGATGCAGGCAATCGCACCACTCAGCATGTCCGCCACGATCGCTGGATACGAGTTGGCCGTGGGGAAGTAGGCATGGAACTTGGGACTGTGCCAGTGGGTCACTCCCGGCATGATGACGCGCTCTATGTCCTGCATCACATCCTGCCACTTCTCCGGCTTCTCGGGCGCCGCATCCGGAATCAGGGGCTTCAGGTACCCGGGCTTCACTTCCGGCAGAACGCGCCTGTAATTGGAATAATTGCGTTAGCTTCTGATTGCATTGGGCGCCCATTCAGGAGGAGCTTCTTGCTAATTGGCTGCGAAACTCAGTTAGCCCACAAAGCCATCAGGAGTGGGGTAGGAGGATACCCAACCATCCCCACTTGTTGCCGTGGCACGAAAATCAATAGCAATATGTAGCAAAGTGCTTTGGGAAAAGGATAAAAGGGGCAAAGCTGATAATGATGACAGGATTTGCTGTTCCTTCAATTAAGAGGATGAACTGAGAAAAGTAGACGATTGAAAAGAAAATGGTTCACTTATATAAAACAAAAGAACTCGCAGTGAAAAGATGGGATGATTATTAAAACTTAATGTCGAAGGGACTTTAATAAAGTAAATGCATTACATTTGCTCTAGTTCAAATTGACTTTCAATTAACCAGTCAAACAACCGCAGCAGGTGTCGAAATCGTTTACTCCGCCGACTGTGATTTTCAAGGTAGTGGAATCGAGACCGTTAGAATTGGCCAAGAATAGTGAAATACCTGAGTTGCTTTTGGCCAAGACGCGTTTGTGCTGCAATTACGTCTACGTGAAAACCGACCTTGACACGCCAACTTCGAAAAGCTTTTAATGGCGCAATAATTAATTAGTTTTAGGCCCAAGAGCAATGAAAGTACTTGGCCCTCGAGTTGGGAAGGTCGCCGCAAGTCTCTAAACAAAAGTACAAGTATATTTAACAATGGAAAGGTCCGATCGGCGCGACTTTCCCGTGACTAATGCTCAAACGTGTGCGAAATGTCATTCACTTGGGCGGCATCGAGCAGAACGAACTTTCAATTCGAACGCAAAATGCTGAGGTCAAGCGACAGATTGTGATTCCATATAAATAAATTTTTGATACGTTCGATACGTCGCTTAATTAAGTTTAATTCAAGCTAATTGAGTAGGACGCCAGTTGCTCACCTTTCGCGTATGTTCTCCAGGTATTCGGCTATAAAGTCCACCATTGTTTTGGCAAAATCCTTGAACTCCGGCGCCTCCATGTCGATCTTAATGTGGGTTCAGAAATATTTAGTTAGTATACACATGCCTAATTGTTGGCTAATTGCTTCAAGCCAGCAGACATACCGAAACCTTGGGGTCCAGCTTATCTTCCAAAATGTTAGCTTTACCATTACCATCACTCTGATTTGGTGGGTTAGTGTTACGAATGGGTATGTGGCTCATTTTCAGAGTGATTGACTTTTTGCAATGATATGAACTCGAATGGCGCTAATATAGACTAATACGAAAGAACGTGCGATTATTAATGAAAGTGTTATTAATAAAAGTGGGTATTTTAAGATCAGTGCAGTGCTTATCAGTGCAGTTTGCGCAGTTCAAACATAAATAGCTGCAAACGCAAATGAACGACATTGATCACTAAGTACATGGTGGGAACAATAATGAAAATGATAACAATGTTATTAATATTTTTAAGCGTTTTCCGTTTGAGTTCGTTGCCTAAGTATAGACTGTGAATTAGTATGGTAATTAGAATGTTTAATGCATTCTTGCATTAATTAAGACTACTTTTTTTTTCTCAATTCAATTTTTAACAACGTAAACAGGTTGGCATTGAGACGGCGACTTGTTGCCAGCAAATAAAGCACTTCAAATCTTATTTTAATAGATACACAAAACATGCATATACCATAAACCAAAAGCCAAAAAAGCTTAAGCACTAAAGAATTCGGGCCCGAACTATGAAATTAAGCCGAAGCAAGGCTAGATGCCCAGTTTTAGATACACATTACGTATACGCAGCGTTAGCCCGAAATGAACTTTTTGCATGCACATGCACTCATTATGTTGGCCGAGCACTCGAGGCTTTTGAGCAGCCACACTTTCGTCACTCGTCACTCACCGTGCACTTTAGTTAACTGCTTTTAATTATTTGCACTTGTCGTCAAGCCTTACTTCCGCTCCGAACTAAATCTTTGCTCCAAGTTCAGTTTGCCCTCTTGTTTGTTGCAGCTAATATTTATTTGCTGTTCTGTGAGTTGATTTCTGTGCTGAATTGCTGTGCGCTCGGCGTTCTCCTCTTAACTGAGCGCTGCTCGCTGTTGGCCATGGCTTTTAAAGCCCGCCCAGCAGCGCTGCCAATTCCGCAGGACCGGTTCAATCTCATCTCAGTCGGCGGTATGTAAAAATACATTCTCCACCCGTTTGATTTGTGCACGTTCTGCACGGTTAGTTTGTTCCTTACTTTTTCGAAACATGCATTAATTGCGGGCTGAATCAGTAACTGGATATCCGCGGGATTTTTCGGCTTATTTTTCCAGTTATTACATCTCAGGAATCTTAAGATTTAAGCCTAGCTATATTAAAGTATTTTAAAATATTGAAATTTCTTGTTTACATGTATAATATTACATCGCAAAGACCAAAACCACCTAGTGAATCAGTTTGAATTCTGCTCACGTGCTTCCCAACGCGAATTTAAGAAAAGAGCGCGATCTCGTCAGGAATCCCCCATCATGAGTCACTCGTAACAGGGTTTTTGTCGGGCTCCCCAAAGAAAAAATCACGCAAAAAAGGCAAACAAAGTCAAATTCATAGAAACGCAAAAATTGATTAAGCTGCGAATGGCACGCTTTACGCGCATCTTGAAAACCGGTTATTAGAGCTCCACATATGACGTGCTTTCTGAACCGCCCATGGCTTTGTGACGTCAAATAATCCGATGCTCTCACTCACTTTCGCATTGCGCTAGGGGAAGTGGGCTAGGTTGAGCCTTCTGAGCGGGCAGTTCCTTGTACACTGAGAGAAATACAAGACCACCTCGGCCTGACGAAGATTATAGGGTCGGAAACGCTTTGTTCTACTGGTTACTTACTGGAACATAATAATACATAAATGCTGGAATGCCCATTTCAAAAATACTCTAATTTCAGAATGTTTTTTCTTAAATCTGTAACTGGTAGAAATTCTACAAGACCGCTGAAACCATATATGCATATACAAATTATTTCGACAAATTTTGAATTGAAGCAACAAGACATTTTTTGCGGTGTAGGGTGTAGGATGAGTTTCCTGCGGGTGGGCCAACTGTTGCTGAGTGCGAGCGAAGTGCGTGTGCCTGACATTTCAACGAAGCCACTTTGGCAAATCACTTGGCTGAATCAACAGATTTATACGCCATTCCGACGGCTCTGCTTTCGATTTAATGTGGTGGGTGCTCCACCCAGCCACCCAGCCACCCAGCCACCCAACCACCCAACCACCCAACCACCCAGATAATACTGCTTTACGGGTGGCTGGAGCTCGGGTCGATTGGGGCGAAGAGTAGAATACTACAAATTGATTTATGACCGTCTTGAGTTGCGAATGAATAGGAAAGTATTGCCGTTTATGGGGGTCGAGTGGCGCCTTTGAGAGGGGATTGCATAAACAGGCATAGGAGGTGAACAAGGGCCGAGATAAGCGAGCGTGTATTTAGGGAAAATCAAATCGCAGAGCTCCAATAGGGCGCGTATTTAGTATACAGATGATATGATATGAGCAATTGATTGGATTCGTTTTAAGATTGCTCTGTAGGTATTCACATTTCAGAAAGAAACATTCATATGACCAAATCATTTTTTACCATCCCTTGCATAACCATCACACTCAATTGAAAAGCGCACTCAAATAAGGATTATCATTTATTGTTTGTTCACATAATGAAATTTTCTTATGGTCTGTGTTTCTTTGAATTACTGGAGTTCTTTTAGCCAGTTGCCGATCTTAACGACCAATTCAGCAGGACGCGCACGCGAACGACCCAAACGGAAACAACAAAAGTTGAGCCGCATGCGGAGCGCACACTGCGACCGGATTTCGAACCCGATCGGGAAGATAATGGAAAAACCGATTACATGAGACAAATTTTGGTTGTTTCGCTTAGTATTCTCCAGTCAGTCGGGCGAACGCTTTAGAGTAGTGCATATTTCAGCAGAAACAAAATCGAAAAGTACTTAGTAAATGCTATAGGTAGTTACAACTTAACGGAACTAGATGCACCCAGCTACTGCGCGATGGTGGATGGCAGATTGAGCAGCGTGCTCTGTCCGCTGGGCAAGTAGGCGACTCCGCGGGACCGGGATAGCTGGTAGGCGATATCCTCCGCGGCTTCAATACGTCGCAGCTCCACCAGACCGTCTCCGGCCTCGCCGAAAGACTTGGCCAACAGCCCAGCGGCTTCGGCATCACCCTCCGCCGAAATGATGGAGGCCAGCTTCTGCTGCTCGGCCTTCTCCACCACGAAACGGGCCTTCTCCGCCTCCTGCTGGGCAACCTGCTTCATCTCGACGGCCAGCGTGAACTCCCGACCGAAGGTCAAGTGCGTCAGCGAGATGTCGTCTAGAATGAAGCCGAACTGCTTGGCACGGACAGTCAGTTCCTGGGAAACGCGCTGCGACACCATCTGCAAAGAGGTAAGTACGGTAAGTTGTGTCTTTTTATACTAAACAAAGGCATCTCCTGAGTTGTGCTCACCTCACGCTGGGTGATCAGCTCGCCGGCGTCGAACTGGGCGACCACGGCCTTCAGCACCTCAGGGGCGATGGAGGGCAGAACACGCTCGTCGTAGTCCTGGCCGAGAATGGTATAGATCTTGGGCAGCTGGTCGGGAATGGGACGATATAGGATGCGGAGCGTGATGTTGACATTCTGCAGATCCTTGCTGCCCGTGATCACAGGAACGTTGCGGGGCTGGGACCGGATGTCGAAGATGATGGGCCGCTGCACCCATGGGATGAAGAAGTGGGTGCCCTCGCCGACCACGTTCTCCTTGATGCCGGTGAAGCGATCGAAGATGACCGCCCGATGGCCGCCCTCCACATTATATAATGCCGAATTGACAACGCCACCCAATACGGCCACTCCGAGGCCCATTTGGCCAATGCGATTGAAGAACTGAGCAGCCATTATCCTTTGGAATAAAAAAAACCGAATATATTTAGTTACTGTTCTATAAACTATATATGTAAATAGAAAGCCCACTGGACTTGGAAATTTCATCAGTTTTTAGGTTAGAACGTCATGGTTAGAGACAATGTGCTGTTTCAGTGGTTTAATACCCAATTCTGTGGCTCTTCCAACGCAGTTAGCTCGGACCGCTCATAGACTTACTTGTTTATGGTTTTTGTTTGCAATTAGATCAAATTATTGTGCAATTTTGCCCTTTGAAATGCAAAACACGAAATCCAACCGCACGGCCGTTATCGATAATACAGTTGTCGGTGGACCGGCACATATCGATACTTAGCATTAACATTAGCAAGTCAAAGTATCGTATTCGATTGTTAGGTTTTAACATTAACATTAGCAAGTCAAAGTATCGTATTCGATTGTTAGGTTTTAAATGTGAAAATAACATGTCGCCACCACTGTTTCTAAAAATTATCGATAAATTGGTGAACTTGGAGCCAGATTTAAAAAGAAGATAATGATCAACCAGCCCAGTTTACAACAAGAAACTAACAATTAACAATAAAAGATTATTTTTAATTCGAAACTAAAAACCCCCCAAAATTATTGCGCCATTTCAGCACGCCCGGCGACCTTTGGCATCTTTTTGTTCGTAGAATCCTCCAGCTCCTTGGCCTTGTAGTAGTGCGGGGCCACCTCCAGCAACCACTTGCTCTCGATTTCGATAACCTGACGCATGTACTCCTTGGAGGTGAACACCAGCTCGTGATAGAGCACCCACCGCGGCAGCTCCTCAAAGAGTGAGGAGTTCGGGTGTATCATCACTGTCTGATTGTGCTTGATGGTCTTGTAGTGACCTCCCTTGGAGAGTCGCGCCACATGGTAGAAGTATCCGGCGGTGGCTGCCTTGCGCACATTTACAGTCTCCGGCAGGCAGCTGACCATGTCGATTTCGACACGCTGCATCAGTCCCACCAGCTGCTCTCTCACGTCTCGAGCACGCTTCATCGATCTGTACTGGATGAAGTTCTCATAGCACCACTGGGTGCTGTAGTCCGTCTCCGCCCATTGATTGTAAACCTGCAGGAGGCTCAGGTGGTCGCCGTGCATGTGATTGAAGTTTTTTCGGGCAGTGTCCGCGTGAATGATTTTGTCCTTGGGCCTGTAGAAAATGGCGCTGTTCACGGACAGCATGGCTGCAATGGTCACCATCTCCTCGGAGCATTTATATCTAAAACAATGTAGGGGTATGAAATATATTACACTTCTTATTTGTTGGATTCACTACATACTTTTCGCTTGCCAGCAGCATCTTGCCCATCATGGGATCCACTGGAAACTCGGCCATACGGCGACCCAGCTTGGTTAACTCTCCATGGTGGTTTAGTGCACCCAGGGCATACAGCTGTTCCAAAGCCAATACCAGTGTCTCGTGCGGCGGAGGGTCCAGGAAGTCAAAGTGTATCAGATCATTAATGCCCAGAGCCTTGAGCATGAGCACCGCATTGCCAAGATTAATACGCTGTATCTCCGGAACGGTATTGTCCTCCAGTTCGTGCTTGTATGCCCACGCCGTGTACAGACGAAAGCACTTTCCTGGAGCGGTTCGTCCTGCTCTGCCCGCTCGCTGATTTGCGGAAGCCTTGGAAATGGGCACCACCATAAGTGACTCCATGCCAGTACGGGAATTGAAATTGTTCTGCTTGGCAAACCCAGGATCAATCACATATATAATGTTGTCGATGGTTAGCGAGGTCTCTGCTATATTGGTTGCCAGGATAACTTTGCGGGCATTCGGTGGCGTGGGCTCGAAGATTTTGGCCTGCATATCACTCGGGAGATTCGCATAGACGGGTATAACAATCAGCTCACGTATTTTAGAGCCAAGCCGCTTTACGCGATCCTGCAGAACCTCCTGGCAAGTCTCGATCTCATCCTGACCCGTGAGGAATACTAGAATATCGCCTAAGGGTTGAGTGGCATGAATCTGCAAAACTGAAACGCAACACGCATCAATGTAGTCTGCTTCAGGAGCCTTCGTGTAAAAGATATCCACTGGATAGCGGCGACCGGGTATCCTAAAGATGGGTGCATCATCGAAGAAAGCAGAGAACTTCTCCGCATCCAGAGTGGCACTGGAAATAAGGAGCTTCAACTCCGGCCTGAAACGAGCAATATCCTTGACCAGGCCAAACAAAATGTCCGTGTGCAGTGTCCGCTCGTGAGCCTCATCGATAATCATCACACTGTAGGAGGCCAAGTCAGGTTCCGACAGGAACTCTCGATGCAGGGTGCCATCAGTCATGTACTTGAGAATGGTGCGGTCTGAGGTGCAGTCCTCAAAACGGATGCTGTAGCCCACCTCGTTGCCCAGTTTCACGCCCATTTCCTCGGCCACACGTGCAGCCACCGACATGGCGGCCACACGACGTGGTTGCGTGCATCCGATCATCTTCTTATCCTTGGTGAAACCAGCATCCACAAGGTACTGCGGCACCTGTGTAGTTTTGCCCGATCCCGTTTCACCTTCGATGATGAGCACTTGATGTTCCTTTACAGCAGCAATGAGATCCTCCTTGAAAGGATAAACAGGCAGGGATCTTCTGGTCTCGTCCAACGTCAAGCGTTTCCGTTCCTTCTCCGAGAGTTCTGGCTGTCGGCTGGATGATTTGTCCCGACTTCCGTCCAGGGTTAGCGCTTGGATGAAATCGATCTGATCGTCAAGGAGCAGCTCATACTCTTCCGCCGCCTTGGCATCTTTGGCACCGAAATGGAAACGCGCCGAGGCCAATTGTTCAGCCTCCCATTTCTTCTGCTCCGAGTTAGGTTGCTTCTCAAAGTCATCCACCTCTACGTACTCAGCTTAAGTAGGATAATAGCTTATTAGTATTTATCCAGCACCAACGGACATAGTCTACATACATCGCTCTCCCTTTTTCAGGTCCTGTGGCATATTATAGCGCTGTACGCGCTCTAGTTCCCGCGCCTTTTCGTGCTCCTTGGCGATGTTCAGCAGTTGCTTCTTGTATTGGCGCTCCTCCTTCTCCCGTTTGGTCAGGCTGAAAGCAAACCACGATTATTTGGATACATATGTGGGTAAGAATAAGCTTTGATCGTACACGCTCTCATCAAAGAGGTATTCATCGTCCAGGATGTCCGCCTCCAGCTCGGCCACCTTGTCATCCTTGCGCTTCTCCAGGTACTGGCGACGCGACTGAAGACGCAGGTGAGGTACTATCTTATCCCGATCCTCGTGCTCCAGCTTCAGCCGCTTGGTGGCCTCTTCGATGGCCCTGCGTCCGCCGGTGGAATCAACCACATTGCGCGTCCGATCGTCATCCCGCTTCTTGAGCCGGCTGGCGAACTCGTCGCGCTCCTGCAGGTCCTTTAGGCGAGATTCTTCCTCACTGTCCGGCTCCTCGGCGCTGCTGCTGCTGCTGGCCGTGCGTTTTCTGTTTTTACCAGACATTTTACAAAATTTCGCCCATAAACAAACCGGCTGGCGATAGGTAATTCGATAACTTACAGTGCTGCCAAGCTAGCTGGGAATCTAGGTTTCTTCAGCAAGGGGTAAAACACAAAAAAAAAATAATTCCATTATTTATATCTATAATTTTGTTATTATAAAATATGTTTATTCGATTTTATAAAATAGGCTGAATGGTGATGTAGTTTGAAAGAGTTTGGTACATTTTCATGGCACTTAAAATTGCCTTAGCTTCTTTTGCTGTTTGAATTATTGCGCAAATCTATTAGCAGTGCGCATCACTGTTCCCCCAACAGCTGTTTAACGCGTATAACTCACCTCAGTTTCGGACCATGTCGCGCCAATTGAGTTTTAATCCGCAGAAGGAATATGAGTTGATCGAGTACCCCGGCCGAGTGGTTAATCCTGATCGGATGATAGCCACTCTAGGCGGCATCATCAATGTCTCCAAGGTAAGTATTTAAACCTTGTTGGGGGCGGCTTGGCTGATATCTTATTCAATTCACAGGTTCTGGGCGACGAAGTGAAACGATTGGCATTGCACTTCCATCCGGAGAATCCCTACAACAAACCCACTTTTGGGGACTGCACGGATAAGACTGGCGTCCTGCTATCCATAACCGTGAGGCGCCACAAAAAGGACAAGCAACGGCCTCCGGAATATTTTGTACGGGTTTTGGGCCACTGCAGCAGGAGTTTCACCTTCGAAAGTGAGTTGATGCTATGAATTTAATATCCAAACTATTCTAATTTCGATTACACCTTAAGCGCTTTGTGATTTCCAATACTTACCCCTTTGGTCAACTCCCAAAAGTGACAATGCAAATGCTGCCCAGGAGCTCACCTTCGCTTTGGATCAGTTGAAACCCAGGGACACCACCGACTTGGACTTCTTTAAGTGAGTAACTTCTGCATAGTCTTGTTTTTAGACTAAGAAAATGCGCAGCTTATTGTTCTTTATTTTAGTCTTATGAGATAGTTTTTTAAAGGGTTCGCTGTATTTTTCCCACAGACGTCGCCACAGTCAGTTGCTGGCGCTGCCCGAATTGTTCACCCATGTGGACACAGTCTACGCGGGCACACATCGCATCGATCCCTCAGAAGACGGCCAACATGAGGTGCTGGGCGTGCAGTCCAAGTCCTCCTACGACAACCAGGGCGTGGTTTCGTTCAATATGGTGGACAGCTTTCCGACTCAGGCAGACTCCCAAAACCTTAAACGACTCAAGGTTAAGTACGTTTCGGATGAGCAGTTGGCTTTGGTCAAAAAGCTCTTCGATGACTGCCCAATTTGGACCCGAATCGCGCTGCAATATGAATCCGGGTTGACCAACGACAAGCTCAAGTGCATCACTCCTTCCCTGGCATTTTACTTTAGCAACGGTCCATGGCGAACTTTGTATGTACGCTTCGGCTACGATCCCCGCAAGGACTTCAATAGTCGCTACTACCAGACCTTTGACTTCCGACTGCGATTCAGCACTGGCCTCTCCGAATTTGTGTACGCCAAGAAGTTCGTAAAGCAACGAAGAGCGGCGAACGCTCCATTCGCGCCCATAGAGGATCGAGTGTCTGATTTGGTTCAAGACATTGACTATCCCTACTTTGATGAGCACAAGCTGCCGCGCTCCAGACAATGCATGCTGCGCTATTGCGACGTCCGAATGACAAGGATCCAAGAAATGCTGGAGAAGATCCCCACACCTCTTACCGGAGCTGTGTGCAATGAGCGCACGGGCTGGCTGCCGCCGGGATTTGATGCTCAAGTGCGACAGATTGTCTGCGCTTCCATTAGTGAACTTTTGCGCAATCATTACCGCAAGGAGAACCTTACAGCCGAGGTGGAAGCAGTTACCCAGGTCGACGAAGACGATGAAGACGAAGCCGAGGACGAGGAGACACAGGAAGAGGACATGGACCTGGATGAATCGCAAGCCATGAGCAACTCGGAGCAATACGTAGACAATGATATCGAGCAACTCTTCGATAATATCACAAGCTGAGTGAGGACGCCGACTGAAATGATTATTATTTATAGCATAGCATATATTATTTTTACTCAAAATAAAAACCGAGCTCAATTTCTTTAATATACTATTATAAAGTAAAGCAAAGTTGTTTAGTTTACTCAATTGAATATAGCGAAGGTGCAGCCTTTATTCATTAATAATTAAGCAGATAAGTGTAATAAATTTCATTCTCAATAGCAGAAGCTAGAATTGTTGGTTGCAAGAAGTGCTTTGACTGCTGTAAATGCTGGCTGAAGGAATATCCTCTTCTCCACAGCCTAGGGCCTACATCTGTCGAGGAATCGAGGATACAGGCACACCTCGCGGATGTGGTAGCGGTTGAGCAGCCAACAAAGGAATCGCTCCAGACCCAAACCATAGCCACCATGTGGCATGGTTCCATAGATGCGCTGGTCCGTGTACCAGTAGTAGGGCTTCGGATCAATTCCTTCGCGGGCATAGCCCTTGAGCAGCTCCTCGCTGTCGTAGATCCTCATCGATCCACCCACAATCTCGCCGACATTTGGCAGCAGAACGTCCACACTCTCGGTCAGGCGCTGATCCTCCTTGCAGCGCTGCATGTAGAAGGACTTGATTTCCGCCGGGAAACGGCACAGCATAATGGGTTCGTTGATGGTATCGGTCATCTTGCGCTCAGGAGCCTCGGGAATATCCTCGCCAAACTCATAGAAGGTGCCATCGTCCTTGGTCACGTTGTTCTCCTTCAGCCACTTGATGGCATCCTCGTAGTTCATGCGACGGAATGGCTTCTGAGGAGGTTTGAAGTCAGGGTTAAGCTCCTTGACCAAATAGCCCCAGGGAGACTTTAGAACACGATCCACCACGTCGCAGACCAGATCCTCCAAGCGGTCAAGTAGATCATCAAACGTAAGGAACGCACACTCGGCTTCCACGTGCGAGTATTCAGCCAAATGCCGCCGCGTACGACTCTGTTCCGCACGATAGCTCTGGGAAATGGTAAAGACATCGCCCAAAGCCGGCAGGCAGGTCTCCAGGTATAACTGCGAGCTCTGCGTCAGGTAGGCCTCCTCGCCAAAGTACTTAAGCTTGAAGAGCGTTGAGCCCCCTTCGACCTGGGTCTGTACCAAAGTAGGGGGCGTCACCTCGTTATAGCCACGTGCCTCGTAGTGGGCACGGAATGCTTGCGTCACAACGGATCGCATCTTGAGCACTTTCGAGGTGTTCTCGCCACGTATCATGATATGCCGGTTATCGAGCTGCACGTCCGGTTGCGCTTCCTCGTTGAGAATGGCATCGGCACCGCCGGGTGGAGCCAGACCAATTAACTCCCAGTAGTCCACGTTCAGTTCATGCCCTCCTGGGGCAGTCTTTCCTTCTGGAACTAGTTTCAGGGTACCAAACAGGACTACAGAGCTCTCCGTGCTGAGGGTGAGCGCATCGTAGGTCTGGCAGAGCTGGTCGTTTAGCACGCACTGCAGGAAACCGGTGCCGTCGCGAAGTGTGATGAAGATCAGTGACTTTCCCTGACGACGCAGACGATGCACCCAACCGTAGACCTTGACACGCGAGTCGCGGTTGGCGGTGCCCTCAAAGATTCGTATTTTGCGGGCCAACGGCAGGCTGGGATCCTCCGATATCTTTACCTTCCGGGCATCCTCCAGATTCTGCTGGCGCTTCTCCGCATCCTCCGCCTCTCGTTGCTGCTTCTCGGCATTCTTGTGCGACTCCCTGACAAACAGTTTCTGAATTTTCTTTAGTTGGGACTTGGCAGCCGGCTCGAAGGGCTCCGCTGCATTCGGATCCTTGCTGTCCACGTAAATCGTGGGAAAGGGCTCCTTGCCCGCATGACGCATCGCCTGCAGGATGGTCTTAAAGGGCTTGGACTCACTGCCTTCGCCGGACTCATCACTGCCCTTCTTTTCCGAAGTAAAGATAGCACCTACACATGGTCGTACATATAAATATTGCACATTATACTTCTGGCTCGCTGGCAACGTGGACAATTTCTATCAATTAAAGGCATACTTACCCAAGGTCAAATCAGCTAACTGGTCGGCTGGCATCTTGTTCGCTTCGTGACTAAGATTTGACTTACTAATTGTACGCACAAAATTGCATCAGCTGCAAGTCGACAGCTTTGACGAAACGATTGCCTGTCGCCGGAAACTCGATAGACAGAATGAAAAGCAAGTGCTGGAAAACGCCGATTGCCAATTGGATGCTGAAAGCTACAAATATTTTATTTTTATTTTATTTTTTTTTTCTGGCGGGAAGCTTTGTTTTTAGTCTTTACTTTAAGGATTTTTATAAAAATCTGTATGTTTGTATTCACTTGCCCTTAGAATTCAAATCGATGCTACCTAACAAATAGATGGTATTATTCAACAATTTCCCATTATTCCAGTATTCAATGGAAATTTTGTTTCGAAGAACACTAGTCTCCCGTCTCCCGACAAGTGTTGTCACTTTTAAGCCAAACCTGTCGGATATTCGGTTCCATATGAAGATAATTAGCACCAAAGTTCGGCGACATGATGTTTTTTAAAACACTAACTTTTAAGATTTGTAATAAATACTGATACTGGATTTCTAAGCTAGTCTATAAAAGGGTTATGAAATTTGAAGATTATTAGACTTCTTTATTTTTTAGCTATCCGATTTTTTCAACTACCTTAAAAATAGCTGAATCTAGCTATAAAATATCTGCTCCCCTGCGAGCTCTTATTTATTATCGATAACTTTAAGTGCAGTCTGACCTTCGTGAGAAAACGTAAACAATTTGAGAAAATATAAAATGCCCTCGGAAAACAGGTGATTGCAGTATAAATACGTGCCAAACTAATTCACTAACTAAAGCTACTATCGCCTCTTAGCAGAATCAAAATCCTGCCCAAGGCGGTGGTTTGCGAGGAGAGCAACCTGCGCGGTGACATCACCTTCTCATCGGGTTGTGTGGTTCATCCGAGTGCCACCGTTATCGCCGATGCAGGACCCATAATAATTGGAGAGAACTGCATCATTGAGGAATACGCCACAATAGCCCACCGCTTGGAGCCGGGTGCCGTATGGGATGTCAACAATATTCTAAGCATTGGCACCCACAATGTCTTTGAAGTCGGATGCCAAGTGGAGGCTGCCAGGATAGGTGATAAGAACGTCTTCGAGAGCAAGTGTTTTGTGGGCCGCGCAGTTACTATTTCCAGTGGTTGTGTGGTGGGCGCAGGAATCCGGATACATACCAGTCAACTTCTGCCCGAAAACACCATTGTTTATGGAGAACAGGGCCTGCAACGTGAGGCCATCGACAAGCAGGGATCGCAGACCCTGCAAATCGACTTCTTGCGCAAAGTCCTGCCTAACTATCATCATCTCCGGAAGCCCAACTACGATCCCAAAAAGGCGCGCAGCGTGGTGTAGTCTGTAGTGTTATTTATATATATATAATCCGTCATGTATTATCCACTTTCACGGCATTAAAGTCTGCCATCTCCTTTTCGAACGTAACGATTGTATGATCACACAGACCCTCCAGGTCCTCCAGTCCCCGTTTGAGTATATCTATGGCTCTGTCTCGATGGGATTGGATGCGAAAGTGGAGCTTCTGTTCTGTGGGATGCGGGATGGTATAGCCACAGAAATCCACCTCCGGGTAGCGGGCTATGATCGTTTTCAATGCATTTCCCAACGTGTGGCCCTCGTTGGTGAACACAAAAGTCCGAGATCCTTCGCCGTTCTTCTCATCACCAGCCAGCTGGAAAAAGTAATTAAGAATTAATTACCAATTTTAAAGCCACATTGAGCCACATATTTAGTTCCTTGTCTACCTCTGCCAATGCTCCCATTTTCAGTTGGTTCAAATACTTTTGCGTTTGTTTACAAAAAACGTGCAAGACACATGCCTCGGCAATCGATTGTGAAGTCATCGATGCTCATCGATTGAAGTAGCTAAAAATGGCTAGTTCCAATTGGAAGCAAAGTAGCTAAAAGGCAGGGATGGTTTATCCCAATTGAAATTAAAGTATTTCTTAAGCAAATTTACGCAACATTACTGTAAATAAAAGAAATAATAAATTCATAATAAATGTTCCGATTATGTATTTATATATTTGTATTTGATTATATCTGCTGAAACATTCATATTTTTTGCTTGTGGAAAAAAAAACAATTACTTCTAAATTGAAAGTAATGCATAGCTGCCGACCAGGTGTCATCGATATATCGATAACGTCGTCGAAGTTTCCGCCAGCTCCAGTTCTAGACGCGTTCTGACACGGACGCGGTTTTCAACCAGAGCATTGAATTGTGTGTGTTGTTTGTTAATTCGCTTCGTTCTGTGGCCAATTTTATTGGGCCAGCTGCGAAATCAGTTTTGTGCGGTGTCGGCTAAAAAAGAAAAGAAAAAGAGTCGTAAACAGCCGCATTAGCATAATTGCAAGCCGCCTTCTGCATACGTGTGTGTGTGTGGTGGTTTGTTTGAAAGCATCAGCAGAAAAGGCGGCAAAGAAAGAAGCAGAGAGGCGAAGCGGAGCCGAGAAAACAAAAACAAAAAATTGCAACGGCAAACATAATTATTTCGCAATGCATTCAACGTGAAGTTGCTCCAAAAACACCGACACTCGGCCAAAAACGCATACAACGACGAATCGGCACTTCATTTTACATACTTTTTTCACGTTTCCATCAGGAATTGACTGCAATACAGGTTTGTTTAATGTACACCATGTGCTTACTAATAATATCGCATACAAAAATAAGCGTTATTGAAAAGCTCGAACTGTCATTTCAATTTTGTTGACGGCCACGCCCCCCGAAAATTATGCAAATTCATGCGCCCTTTATTTTTTGGACGCACACAGCTGCCAAAAGGCAGCTGCCTCTGCCGCTGTGCAGTCGACGCTGCTGCCCGCGAAGGCGGAAGTAATGGCTAAAAAATACCAGTTCAGAGGCTTTACTAAAGCTTTATCTTTATCGTTACTGTCCTCCTGTTCCGCTTTTCGTCTGTTATTGCCAATCATGTAGACTTTTATTCCCGAATAATTGGTAAATTTCCTAATTGGCACGTTGCATTCACGTTGGCAGCAGACATATTCAATTTAAATCCCTTATACATTTTTGAAAACATATTAATTAAATAAAAGACGATAAACCATTTTCTTTTAAAACCAACATTAAGTTAAGCGCCCTAAGATATACAGCAACTTATTGCAAAGATACCCAATAGCTCTTAGCCAATGCTGACTGTATTTTGTTTCCACTGGTTGCTATGCTCTCCTCCCTATACCCTCGCCATTCCTCTCTGCCTTCTTTTCGGCATCCTGCTAACTCCTTTTCACTCATTTGTTCGGTGGTAGCAGGCACACACACACATGTACACACATCTGTTGTGCCTTGGTGGTGACTAATGCGGCAGCATGTTCCGTTATCTCATGCGTTCCCCCTCCTCGCGCCCACGCGCCTCAACGCTTGTGTTGTAATAATCACTTTTTGTGTATGCATGTATGTGCGAGTCTGTCTCACGTTTCGTTTGGCGCCATGCGTTCCCCCCAATTTGCAGTTGTTGCAATTTAGTCTAGGCTGCGTTTCGCTTCCATTTCGTTTCCCCCATTATACTGGGCGCCCTTTTGGCTTGTTGTTTTTGTTTTTACATGGCCTGCAGTGTATGTATGTATATATGCATGTGTATTGAGAGCCGGCATTTTTCTGACTCTTGTGTGAGTGAGAACGAGGCAGCTGCTCTCTCCTGGCCGAAAAAAAGTCGTTTGCTCTCTCTCCTGGGCTAACTCTATTTTTTATGGTTTTCTTTTGAGTTTGCAATTATGTTGGCTTTGTAGTGGTTACAACAAAGAAATTGCATATACCCGCCACGATCGTCGCAAAAAGGGGGAGAAGAAGAAAATGAGAAGTGTGAAATGGTTCTGGGAATACGATCCAGAGGGTTCTCACTTGGCCCATGTAAATAAACACATGTATGTATGTATGCATGTACATATTTACATAGCAACACAACGATATATGGCCTGTATATAGGGAAAATAACTTCCCTAGCATTTACTTGCGAAACTGATTCGTAAACAATTCACTGACACGTGTGTAATACATATGTACATATGTATATATTTTTAACTTACAATAAACGCAAACGAGTCGAATCTGTAGAAGTCATCAACGGATAAAAAAAAAGGATACATACGGTAGACCATTTGAGGATTATATTATTTAAATATAAATAAAGCACAAAAGTATTTTTTGTGTATAGCTGCAGGTGAAAATAAAGGGCTGTAGAGGTGGGAGTCCGAAATTGTAAGCTCTCCCTAGAGTGGTATATCTTCCACCTTGTGCCATGAATATTGCAAATAATCCACTCGAAGTACAAAATACCTGTCAGGGTGTAGACACAGTGCTTTCAATTGATAGGGAACAGGTTATACATTTAGTTTTAAAGCAAACATTGTGTGTACACATAATAAGTGTAATATAATATTATGTGTGTACCTTTTACCTGTTCTTATCGTGACTTAATAGATGTTTTTAAGAATTGTGTTAAAATAATTTTGTCAAAATTATTAAAATTTAGTCGTATACAAATAAGCAAAAGTGTGTTTCTTCTTTTATTTAACTGCATTTTTAAACAATGTTTGCCTTCACATTCGACTGCCCACTGTGCCAGTAATTTCCAAGGATGCTGCAGACATCGAAAGCCATATGAAACGAAATAAAATAAAAAACACAGACAGTTTTGGGGCGAAAGGAAATGGAAGAAGTAGCTGAAGTGAACAAGGGGCAAAGGGGAGCTGGACTCAACAGCAGACAAGAAAGGTAAAGTGGCAATGGCACAAGACGAAGACGGAGAGCACGGCGCAGAGAAACGAGAACAAGGAACAGACGGAAACACGGACACGACGACGTGATATTCCAACATCCTGTGCAGCGAGTCACGAAGGAGGTGGGGAGCGCCATAGAGCCGGAGAGCACGGCAAAGCAAGGGGCGGAGGAGAGCAAAAACCTGTCATCTGCTGCATTCGATACGGGCCATGAATAGGGGGAGAGGGGGAATCGAGGAGGAGAGAGGGAGACAAAGACGCAAAAGGATGGAGCTGCAAGCATTTTTAGAATTCCCAAAATCAACATAAAAACATAATAAACGATGGTGGCCAGTCGAACTACACAACAGGAAAAAAGTTTAGAATATTAAGTCAGGATTTGCAAGGCCCAAAAGTGGAATTGAATATTTTTCCTCAATAGGTTCAAGTTTTTCGCCTTTGCTGTTAATGGCAAATGCAAAATAGCAGTGCATTCATTTCATAATTTATGATATAACACAGTTTACGTTATGTTAATAACAATAACAATGTAATCTTATGTATGTTAATATACGTACAATCATCAAGTTTTACATTGGAGTTTTATACGACAAAAACAATACATCCAGCATCATCATTTTTTCCTCTGTAAGAAGAGCCAGTCAAAAGGAAGCTGAGCTCAGTCCCTCCCCCCTCCCTCCTTCTTCTTTCTGTTTCTCTATGTGTGCGTGATCGCAGCCCAGACGCAGCAGCAGCGACGCCGGCAGAGAGACATAAAACAAACAAAAACCTCACATGCATTTTTCTCTGGTTTCGCCTTTGTTCGGGTTTCCTTGTTTTTAGCCTTCGAGAAGTCGGGTATCGAAATTTAGCCATATTTTTATGGGATATATTAACAAACTGTAGATCATTTAGTTGTTAGTAGTAGTGAATATTTCATATAATAATTTATGCATTACATGTACATATATATTTAATATAATTTAAAATCATAGTATTCATTTATTTTAAGCTGAACCCTGAAATATGGGAAAAATGTTTGTGATTGAGTGTCGTTATAGCACGATTGGATTGATTATTAAAGCCATGAGGATTATAAGTTGGAGCATGATGTAAGCTTAGAAAAGCGAGTCCTTCAACATGGGAACCTAAACCCTGGCATCCGCTGCTCCTAGGAATATTTAAGTCAGCGAGCTTCGGAGAGAGTGGCTGCTGACTTCCGGCCTTTAGTTTCAGGTGAATTGAAAGGGAAACGGCGGTGTAAACCCACCAGACATCCTTGTGGTTTTCGCAATTGAAATGCATGTTTTATTCGTGCATTATTTGCGCATTTTTTTACAGTACGCTCGAAGGGATTTGCATAATACGCCGTAGAGCGGCCGTAAAATGTGTCCGATGCCGTCTGTTGCCGTTGCCATCGCCCATATTGCGGATGGGTGTTCCAGTTGATGTTGTTCATGTTGTTCGGTGGTGGTTGCTGCTCGAGTCCTCGAAGGACTCGCATCGCATCCCCTGTGTGTGTGTCCTGTGCCTAGTTTCGTTTCATTTTCGTTTCACTTTTTCCCTTTTCGCCCTGCTGCTTGCCGCTTTTATTGTCGAACTTTACAGCTGCCGCTTTCATTTCATTTTACTTTATTTCACTTTTTTCGTTCTGCCCAACTTGCATTTTTCCCCCGGTTGTGGCTTATTTTTGGCAGGGTTGGTTTCCACTTATGTGTGGAACTTGCGACGGCGTGTCGTATGCTCCTGACTTTGATCCCTTTCCGGGGGGTGGGACCTCTGTCGTCTGGCCACCCACCCCTCGGCCGAAACATTAGGGAAAGTGTCTTGCAAATAAATAAATAGTCATGTCAGCCATATTATTAATGCCCGGGAAGAAAGGTTGGATGGAAGGTGGCTCAAGGTCTGCGTTCGCATGGGCGGGCGGATGGGTGGTGGGTGCTAATCAACCCTCCTGCGCTGACGGCGAGGAAGGGGGAACGCATCTTACTTCGAAACACAGGAACTCCCATTACAGTGACAACTAACAGTAACGAAACACCCAGTTAATACCAAATACTACTTAATTGTGGCGTTACAAATATTCGAAATAAAAATGTCATATGGATGGATATATTTCAAAGGAGTTGTAAGCTTTGCATAGATAAT